ACATCAGACCATCCCCGTGTACGTCGTGACCAACACCAAGGTCGGCATCATCGGCTCAAGGGAGTACGCGCTGCGCATCACAGGACAGGGCAAGTCGCAGCAGTGATGACGTCATCATGACGTCAACACAACCGACGGCCGCACCCCGCCGGAGGCGGCGGGGGCGGCCTGGGTCGGGAGATGACATCACCGGCGGTCATTTCGCGGTCAAATTTGTGGACACTGGGCGGAATGGCCTCAACCCTGGCGCAGTCCCCCAACCATAGTCACGAGGGTTTTTATCATACCGCATCCTGTTGGTGCTGCTTCCTTGGGCGCCACGCAGCCTGCTGGCACGCACGAACCTGCATTCTTCCACCATGCACCCGCCAAAAGAGCTGCGGCCACTCAGCCAGATGGCAGAGGGTACGGGGAGGCGGAGGGGGTAGGGGGCAACCGAAGGGCCACACGGGGGCTGCCAAACACCAGGCCGGCACTGCCACGCCCCGGCCCCGACCCTGACCCTGGCGCGCCAGCCTGTATCGCCGCACAGTAAAAGCGCCCCAGCGTTTACGCATGCATTCTTCTTCTTGCTACCTGGGCACATTCTCTGTAATTTCTTGGCCGTTTTCACAGCGACTTGTATTGCACGGCCAGTCGGTCCCCGCAGCACCAGGCGCGCACCCGCCTGCAATGACAGTGCAGCACGTGCGCGTGCTTCGCGGCACCCGGGTGAGCGGCGTCACCGGGCGGGGCAGCGACCTTCTCGACACCCCCAGTGGCTTGCCAAGCGGCACGGTGCAGCCAGCGCCGAGCGAGCCCCGCGCTGACTCAGCATCACCCTCGCTTGTGGCAGACGGACAGGCACTGCTGCGCATCAGGTTTTGGGGCGTGATTCATCCATTACAGTTCTGCGGCTTGGATTTGGGTGCGCCAGCCAGACGTGAACAATACGTGGCAGACGCTCTCCGGAGCAACACTCTGACGACAAAGCCCCCAACGCCGGGGGCCAGCCCAGAGGGTCAGCATTGCCACCCAGGTTTGCCCTCCCTCATCCAACACAGCGGACGACACAGCCATCCCTCGCGCCATCATCACCCCTCAGGTCGCAGCCTCCGCCGCCGCCGCCCCCCCAGCGCCGCCGCCGCTCCCGCCCCCAGCCAGCAGCTCCTCCACCGCCACCTCCCGCTGCTCAAAGGCCGCCAGGTCCCGCACCGCCACCGCGCCCCGCGCCCACTCGTCCCCGCCCACGATCAGCAGGCGGGCCGCGCCGGCGCGCTCGGCGGCCTTGATGGCGGCCTTGACCTTCTTTTTGGGCTCCAGCTGTATGTCGACGGAGCGGCCGGCGGCGCGGAGGGAGGCTGCCAGGCCGCAGGCTGCGGGGCGGAGCTCCTCATCCAGCACAAGCACCACGTCGTCGACCTTTGGGGGTGGGGCGTTACGGGGTGTAGACCTCAGGGTTTAGGGGTTTTGGGGAGGGTTTTTGGGAGGGTGCAGAGGGGAGAGAATTGGGGTTGTTCCTTATCACAGTTGCGTGCAACATCAGGTTTTGCTGCATCCATGGTTTTTGTCACGCAACGCATGTTCCTTATCACAGTTGCGTGCAACATCAGGTTTTGCTGCATCCATGGTTTTTGTCACGCAACGCAAGAACAACCTTCGTGTACAGAAAATACTTCGTGATCTCATTTGCCAAAAAAAATGTGTTTTTGAACATGCGCTTCGCGGGGGTTCAAGAGGAAAGAGGTGTTGCATGCGCGTGGGCTGAGTGCACAGGGTGATGCCGTGCAAGCACACCCCCCCTCTAAAACCTGAACCTAAACCCAAGAAGGCGCCTCAACCCCCACCTTGTGCCCCGTGGCTGGCAGCAGGCCCTTGTCCTTGAGAAGCTCCACTATCACAGCATCGCCAAACCCAAACCCGGCGCACGGCGCGTCAGCCCCGCCAAAGGTGCCCAGCAGCTTGTCGTAGCGCCCGCCGCCGCAGATGGCGCGCAGCTGCCCGGCGCGGTCGAAGCCCTCAAACACGATGCCTGGGGGGGAGCGGGGAGGGGGAGGGGGGAGTGATACGCGGCAGTGGGGCGGGAGGGCGCCGTTGGAACGGCTTGCGTGGCAGTTGAGGGGGTGTGGAGGGCGGGCAGGCTGGAGGGGGGATGCAGGTGTCGCAATCGCAAAGCAAGCTTTAAGGATAGCCTGTCGCATTGGTTGCCGGGTGTGCTGGGCAGGATGCGCGGCGCAGCACGTGCGTTCATCGCGGTCGCACACCCGACCGTGCGGACATGGCACAACCCCAGGCACGCGCGCACGCGCACACAAACCATCAAACGCCCCCGCCTCCCAACGAGCCCTCGAATTCTGGTTCATGCTTGAGATACAAGATCTATAGCTCCACATACCCCCCATTAAACCCCCGTCGCTCTGGGAACCCTCCCCTCCCCACCGGCCCCTCACCGGTGTAGTACGCCAGCCCCCGCACCACCGACGCGTCGAACAGCAGCCACTCCTCGTAGCCGTAGCCCCGGGCCAGGGCCCACAGCCGCTGCAGGTCAGACAGAGCCTCACCCGCGTCGTCACCCAGCAGCGCCTGGGGGGGGAGGGGTTGAGGGTTGCAGGGTTTAGGGTTTAGGATTTCGGGTTTGGGGTTGAAAGGGGGGGCAGGGGGTTGATTTTCTAAGGGGGAGAGGGGGGGGTCGGCGCGGACAGAGAGGGGTCAGACGTGCCGGGCCACACGTGTGAGAGCCATACGTGGGCAGCGCGGTGGGGATGCAGTCGGCGAGCAAGCGTGCATGCAAGGCAGCGTGCGTGCATGCGCCACCTCAGCCGCTCCCCTTCACCTGCAGCTCGTCCAGTGACCGCACCGCCAGCGCACCCAGGATGCCTGTTGGTGAGAAGGGGGGGGGAGCAGGGGGATGGGTGAGCGGAAGTGCGGGGGGTGCGGCGTGAGGGAACCGGGTGGAGTGCAGCTAATGGCAGCGGGGGATGGGGGCCGGAGCGGCAAGGCACGGCCGGCGTCATAAGCCCCAATGCCCTGAAGGAGCTCCGCACTTGTGCTGCTGAGGCATAAACCCCTGCACGACATGGGACAGCCGCGGCCCCGCCTCGCACTGACAAGCATGCACGCGCTTCAAACGCACGAACGCACCAGCAAACACACGATTGAGGCGACCAACGCGCTCGCCAACCCCTCAACACCCCCTCTAC